TATATATGCATGCGTGCGTGTGCGTGCGTGTCAGTGGGTGTGTTTGCTAAGAACAAATGAGCTGTTCGTGTATGGTTATGAATCGATATACAAATGGAAAAACTGACCTATTCCTGCCTGAGGAAAACTGGGTCATTTAGATCATATGAAGTCATTACTAAAGACAATATTCAGAAAGCGGGACAAGAAGCTTAGTTTATTTTAGCTTTATTTGAACGTGAAACAAAGGAAAACAATTGCCATAAGTAGTAATGCTAATTTAGTAAAAACCGAGCTCATGTTGCATGTTTCTTGTCTAAACAATGGGCCGATATGCATGCAATACATGTAAGCACTGGGAAGTAAGTGGAAAAATACAGACTGTGAAAGGATGGCAGACATTCCACACAGTTTCAGCATGCATTGTGGAAAACCCCAAAATAAGAGCTTATAGAAGCTTTTGCTTCTATAAGAGCCCGTAGAGTGTTGGGGTTTTTTTTTTCTGTCTGATTTGTATTTTCAGAAAGAGTTTACAGTGCAGACGCGAGTGAAGGCCTCTTAAATGTTCACTCCAGGAGGCCGATAAAGATGTGGTGAGGCGGTAATGGGTAGTTTTACAGCACATCCATCTATTAACATAACCACGGTAGCTTTACCTTTAGGGTTGTTGGGGTGCTGTGGCCCATATCAGCTCACACTGACTTTACACAATAAACCAAGCCTCTTTAGAATTAGGGTTAAGTGGATGCATTTGGATTGTAGAGGTAACAGGATTCAAGTAGCAAGTTAAAAGACATGGTCATGTTGGTCTCACAACCTAATTTTCAAAGGCCAAGGTGTATAGGAAAAACAATCTTTTTTAAAACCAAGTTTGTTTGTTTCTTTTTTCGCAAGAAATAAAAAGTCCTCTTAAAGACAAATTATACATGTCTGTATGGCCCGAAGTGACCTCCTGCAGCCACAAAGCTAAAAGAAAGCCAAGGTGGATGGACAAGAACAAACTGTCTGTCATGCCTGCACATGTCCTGCAAAGCCATTAATCTCCGGAGCCAACCCCCTTCACTTTGACTTCACAGAACTGGTGCAGCTGTATTGAACTTGACATCAGTTTGTCCACACATCACTAAAACGGACAGTTTTCAGTCTCGCGTCCAGATGACTCCCAGACCGAACATAAGATTTGTGGAAAAGCTTAATTTTGGCCACATCTGTAAGGAATGAGAGGTGTGTTTTATTTTTGCTCTGTAGAAATATCCCTCGGAGATGATGCTCAGGACTTAAATTGGACTGAGGTGGACATGTTAAGACGTAGACTTGGTGCAGCGAGGGGGAGGTGGAGCAGTACACTGTCAGGTTGAGTTGCAGGCTGCCCTGCGGGGCATTCCTTCAGTTCATATGCAGCCAAAAAGCTTGATGAAAAGTGCAAGTCCGTTAAGGACTGAGCATTTTCACAGGAATAATACTCTGTCATTCTGCCTTTCACACTCTCCTTATCCTCTCTGGCTTTATCTCATCTTTGCCCTTCCCTTGGGACATTCAAGTGAGAACAAGAGTGACGTTCAGCTCCACCTCAGATTCCGGTCAGATTCAGTGTGAAGCAATTTGACAACAGGCTGATTTACATCTCTCACTGTCTGGATTAGTCCAGCGCTAATGTTTAGCAGGATCTCCAGTTTCAAATTAGTTTTAGGTTAGTAGCATGTTAAGTTTAATAATTAGTGTAAACACAAAGCATTAGTTTGATGAACGATTGAAAGCTCACAAAACTAGTAACGTCAACCTTATAATGGCACAAAAGGAAAAACCAGGCAATTTATGCTCATTCATTAGTTTGAAATATTTCAGTCTTGATCAAAGAGTAATACAAATCAAACCATAATCACACTCCCTTGATCAGAGCAAAAATGATGGTTTAGATGGGCTGGTCATCAAATCTTCTGCTTGATAAAATAAGCTCACCTAAGAGTATTAAATATGGATCAAAAACAAACATTCGTCCATGTGTAATGTAGTAAGAATGTGTAAAGATTAAAGTAATCAAATGCCTTTTGAATATGATTTGCTTTGCCAGGTGCTGAAGGAGTTAGGCACACAATTAAAACAAAGTGCTTCAGTATTAGCCACAGATCTAAAGGCAGTGAAGTAGAGCCAGTTATCTACCAATCAGAAATTTAGTGGTTCAGTCCTTGGCTCCTGTATTCTGCCAATTGCCCTTGATGCATCTAGTTAGAAAGTACTTATAAGGTGCAGAATAAAAGCACTGTGTGTGTGTGGTTTGTAGTTAAAGGCACTTTGAATACTCTATATAAGTTCCAGCTCATCTATCATTGCGTGTTTTCAGCAAAACATACCAAGGGAACGTTTACAGATGTGTAACAGGATGATTCCAATCCAATCAAAGCACATCCCTGAGAGCTACAGAAGCGAAACTGTTACTGTTGGTATATGTCATGTCCGCCTGTTTATCATGATTAAGTCAACATACTGTGTCCATAGCCCCCCTGGTGTCCCTCTGTCTAGCACAACAAAATCTCTCAAAGACACCATGGTGAGATTTTGTTTTATCGGGATGTTTCAAAGCAGAATGTCCTGGCCACATGCACAGGAAGAGGGCAGGAGCTCTTTCATCT